TTTGAAAGTTCACATACTACAAATACTGGGTAAAAATTCAATTAGTAAATGAGTAAGCCACAGGCTAAAACACAGGGTCTAAGACAGAAGAGTAAGGAACTTGGCTGCCAAGGGCATGGCACACACTGTGACCTCAGAGGGCCCACTCCCCACTGGGAAAACTCAGGTTAAAGGATTTAGTGAGCTCAAGGCCAGCCAGTCTACATAGTGAGACCTTGTCTCAAAAGGAAAAAAAAATGAGGGGGGGGGGGCGACTGTCTAAGAGAACACTCCAAATGAGAGCCTATTAAATGAGAGACTTTAAACTTCCCAGAGCTTGGGTCTGGCCTGCCTCAGTTTCCCAGCCTATATCATTAGCCTGTCTGAACAAGTGAGTTTGGAACCCAAGCCTACTTCATTTGTTAAAATTTCCAATGTGCAGAGGGATATTAATGTCATTAGGCTGACAGGCTGACTTACCGTTAACACCCCAACTGCCAAATTTATGTGAGCACAGAATTTTCCTTCCCTGAAACACCCTACCACGTTTTATTTCACTGGACCAGAGCAAACCTTGGGACCTGGTCTCTGGCCCTCTAGCCTGCTAAGGTGTCACCAACTATGAATGAATCCTCTTGGCCTGACAACCCAGGCCCTCAGTGGAACACTGGTCACTGACAAAGGAGAATGCAGAGCGGGTCCCTTGGTTCCTCTTGCATCGCAATGTATTAGGTGTTTGCTGTGCGCTGGGCATTGCGCTAACCTGTATTTACACACATGCCACTCAGTACGCAGGGCGAGGCAGAGGCACAGCTACTGCTTACAATTCCTGCTTCGTAGAGAGCACAGGCTACTAACATCACAGAGTTGCAGAGCTGCAGCTAGAACCTTGAGTCCTTCACCACAGGGCCCCGAGGCCTCCCTGGAGAATAAAGTTCATGTGAGGATCTCAAAACGGTGGTAAGAAGAGACCCGCTTAACCAGTCCTGACCTTCATTTGATAAGAGACCTGCAGACAGGCTCATTCTCCACCTGACCCAGCCGCTGAGCTCCCTTTGGCTTCCAGGCACTTCCAGTTCCCTTCTGCTAGGAACTGGTCCCCACTCTTACCGTGCTGACCTGTCTGACAGAGGAGAGTTTAGGCTTCACCTCCTTCCGGAAGTGGCCCCTGCAGGTCCCTGTCTCTCACCATGTCTGTCATCCTTTCTTTAAAGCACATCTCACTCCACTGCCTGGCTACCTGCTTCCTTCAACACTACTCTGTCAGCTGGGACCTCAGGGAGTGAGACCGCACACAACCTGGGTCAGACCATCAGTGTCAATAAAAAGGGAGCAAATGAATGTGTTAGGCAGTCAGGTCAAAGGCGGAAGTGCTGAGCCTTTTAAAACCACCGTCCTCTGCCAGTGAATTCAGCAGCCACTGAACAAGCAGAGGCAAAGACAGGTTCTGAGTACAAAAGATCTGGGTTCAAATCCCAGCTTTGCCAGGAACTGGGACAGCCTTGAGGCAAGTTACTTTAGCCCCTGTAAATCTCAATTTCTTCATCTATAAAAAGATACAAAAAGTATGCCTTCCCCACAAGTTGTGGGGCAGAAGGTGCAGCTGGAAGAACTCAGCACAGCACCAAGTACTTACCAGTGTTCTCAAAACATTAGCCAGTATGCTCAGTCAGCCCAGCACTCCGGAGGCTGAGGCAGTGGGACTCTGCTGAGAGTTCAAGGCCAGCCAGGGTTACAGAGACCCTAACTCAAAAACCTACAACCAAGCAAGAAAAGCGTAAATGGGGGCTTGGGAGCCTGCTCAGTGGATAAGAGCGAATTCAAATCCCCAACACCCACGTAAAAAGCCAGGCCTGGCAGTAGCCCCAGTGTTGGAGGACAGAGACAGAAGGAACCTGGAAGCTCAGTGGCCAGGCAGCCTAACTAAAACAGAGAGCTTCATTCAATTCAGATTCAGGGGCAGACCCTGCCTCAAGATCAACAGAAGAACACACCCTATGTCCTCCTTCTGGCTCCAGGTAGCACCCACACACTCACAGGCATGCAGCCCCACATGTAACACACACAACAAAAAAATGGATAAATATTAAGCCCACTCACTAATAATCTTTTTGAATAGAATGATAATTAATTTCTCAAATTGAAAACTCCAAAATCAAAATGTGACAGTTACTTTTTGGACCATCGTTGCTCAAACCTGAACTGAAGGCCGTTGGAAAAAGGCGGACCTTAAGTAAAGAAGAGCCACCAGTTCCCACCAAACTTCTAGACACCTCTGAGATTCCAGATTTGGGGAGATAAATGTTTCCATTCAAATACATTTATAATTTGGTTGCAATTTTCATGAACTCCAGCTAATATTAAGATGAGTCAAACACTCTTTAACATGAAGCAGTCATCCTACCTAGTTCCATTTATTTCCACAGTGCTGTGGGCTGCACCCAGGGCTTTGTGCACACAGGCCTCTACCACTGACCTGCATCCTGGTCTTAATCATCGTTATTTGGTTTGTTTGTTTGTTTGTTTGGTCTTCTGAAACACAGTCTCCCTGTAGCCCCAACTGGCCTGGAACTCACTATGTAGACCAGGCTGACCTCAAACCCAGAGATCTGCCTGCCTCTGCCCTCCTCATGCTGGGATTAAAGGCTTGAGCCACCACGCCAGTCTTTATCATAGCTATTTATATTTTAACCACGGTGTGGCTCATTCTCAGCTTACGTAATGAAGAGCACCCACACCAAGCAATCCCAAGGGTCACCCTTCAGACTGTAACAAACGCTCCTTGATGTTTGTGTTATGTAGAGCTGGTTTCCATTCTATACTGTTACTCTAAAAATAAAACCATGTGGGAGCTGGGGATGTAGTTTAGTAGGAGAGCATTTGATTACCACGGCCCTGGGGTCAAATCCCAGCACTAAAATAAATAAAATAAAATTACAGTACGATATGGTGACACATGAGATAATCCTGGCACTCAAGAGCCGAAGGCAGGAGGAACATGGTACCCAGTGCCTCCACAGGAAGTTTGATGTTGAGTATGGGTTACATGAGACCCTGTAACACCAAAAAAAAAAACATATTCCAGAGTCTTAGTAATGGGTTCAATTTCTATAAAAATGACGGCAACATTCGTCTCTCTACACTAGCATCTCCAAAGATGTACAACCCAACAGTTGAACAACCTTAAGGAAAACGGCAATTTAAGGAAACCGACTTTTTACATAAAGCTCTGTAAAGCAGAAGAGAGCATCAACCATGTCCCCTATCGATGTCGTGAGCTATGGGTGTACAGTCCACAGAACTCATTCTGCTGCGGGGCGACAGTCACCAGAGCGTTCCCATTCCCCTGCCCTCACCATCCAAATTGTGCAGCAGAGAAGCAAAAGTTCTCTGTCAAAGGCACAATCACCAACAAAGACAACCACACATCCTGAGTGGGAAATTCTAGTCCTTTTTTTTTTTTTTGTCTTTTTGACACAGGGTCTCCCTGTAGCCCCAGCTGTCCTGGAACTCACTATGTAGACCAGGCTGGCCTTGATCACATAGAGATCCACCTGCCCCTGCCTCCCAAGTGCTGGACTACAGGCCTGCGCCACCACGCTCGGCTCTCTATTTGATTCTTAATACAGATGTTATCAGAAAGACACTGATTTTTGCAGCCAATTCAACTGAAGAAATGGAATATTAGAAATAGTCTCTTTCAATGCCATATGCTCAAGATTTGTTTTAAAATATGCTAGGGAAAGAAATCTGTAACAGGGGGATAGATAAATGAGCAATATTGGCAAGACAGTAAAAGTTACTGAAGCTGAATGAGAAATTCAGATTCAATATAGTACTGTTCTCTAATTCTGCATGTTTGCAACTTTCCATAACAAAATACTGAAAAATATTGGCATGCTGGCTGTGGTGGGACATGCCTATAATTTAAGTACTCAGAAGCCTGAGGCAGAGGGACGGTTACAAATTAGGAACCAGACAGGGGTACAATAAGAAGACCTCCAAAAAACTCTTCAAAGTGCTAGAGAGATGGCTCAGCGGTTAATAGTGATGACTACTCTTAGAGGACCCAGGTTCACTCACATGGAAACTAACCAACTCCAGTCCCAAGGGATCCCATTTCTGACTTCCATGGGCATTGCACAACACAGGTACACTTACACACATGCAGGTAATAAATTCATATACACAAAATAAAATTTGGTAAATATTTTTTTAAAACTCTTCACTCATCTTGGGGTCTTTAGGAGGTGGAGTGGGGTTCTCTTTTCGAGATAGGGTCTCACATGTTAGTCTAGGCTGGCCTGGGACTCCAGGAATGGCCACGAATTCAAGGCACTCCTTCTGTCTCAGTTTCCCAAGTCCTGGGATTACAGACATGAGCCGCCATCCCCAGCTTCTCACCCGAACTCAAATTAGACTTGTCATAATCCCAGTGGAGAAACAAGTAACATCCCACAGCCGTGGTCCTGTCAGCCACTGCTGGCCACAGAGGGGCAAATCCTCACCCGGTAACTCCACTGACAAATTAGAGAAAACACAAGTCCAATTACAGCAACACAGTGACACTGGGTCTAGAAACGAGCAACTTTTCCAATCCCTTGGGCAGGTGATCAACCCTTATGACTCAGAGTCATCAACCCTTATGATTCAAGAGAAAGTGTCCTTAAACTAATGAGACCTGGAGTCCTTAAAATCCTCCATCTGCAGCCACCACAGCAAAGAGAACAACAGGGATGCAGGCGCTGACCTGAATGCGGCAGTTACAGCTCAGCAATGCAAGTGGAACGCTTCATCTCAAAACTTCAAATGACCTTAACTTTTTAACTTCCAACAAAGAAAGAGTCCCGGGAATCTAAGACTGGTTACCAGTCAGCATCCACTAAGACTGGTTACCAGTCAGCATCCACTAAGACTGGTTACCAGTCAGCATCCACTACCAGATTGAATGCTGCGTGAGACACGGCAGACGGAGAGGACGCTTTGCTTGCAAACTTCATGAAAATAACCAAGGCGCTCACCAGCACTTTGTTCTCCACTCGGTCCCCCTTCACTTCCAACTTTACTTTCTTCTTCACTGAGATTTTGATCTTTCTGCCAATAACATCCCTTATGCTTTCTGAAAGAAAGAAAGAAAGAAAGAAAGTTTCATTATATTCTTTGCTTAGTAAGAAAAAAAAGTGTTAGGGCAGAGCTGGTGGGGTGGAGCTGCTTCTGTGTGCTTCCCTTCCTTCTGCTTGGTTAACAAGTCTAGAGGTTATCAGCCATCAACAGGTTCTCGTTTTGAGACAGGCTCTTATTTTATCCCACAGGCTTGTAATCTTCCTGCATCAGCCTCCCAAGAAGGCAGGACTCCCTCTGAGCATGGATCACCAAGCCAAATTTACTGGGTTTTTTTGGGGGGGGGCGGGGGGGGATTGATCCCAGGCCCTTGGACACAATAGGCAAGTGCTTCTACACCCCAGCCTCTGCTATCAAGAATTTAATACACAGCCGGGTGTGGTAGCACACACCTTTAGTCCCAGCACTACTAAAGCAGATGTAGCTGGATCTCTGAGTCTGAGGTCAGCCTGATCTACAGAGTGAGTTCTAGGCCAGCCAGAATTACATAGTGAGACCCCGTCTCAAAAAAACAACAAAGAGTGTGTACTGTTCTTTGCAGAGACGCTGAATTCAGTTCCCAGCACCCACATCAGGCAGCTCACAACAGCCTTTAACTCCAGGTCCAGGGGATCTCATGCCTCTGACCTCCATGGGCGCATTCATGCAGAAGTACATACCCACACGTCAACAAATACACATATAATTAAAAATAATAAAAATAGGGGCTGGAGAGATAGTTCAGCAGTTAAGAGTACTGGTTACTCTTGCAGAGCACCCAGGTTTGAATTCCTGCACCCACATGGTAGCTAACAACTGTCTATAACTCCAGTTCCAGGGGATCCGATGCCCTCTTCTGACCTCCTCTGCAAGAACTGCATGACAGGGGCGCACTTACACACATGCAGGCAATATACTCATACACATGAAATAAAATAAAATATTTTTAAATTAAAAATAACAATAAAAATAAATATTTGAGGGGAAAAACACATGACAGGGCTGGAGGTAGTGGCACACACTGGTAATCCCAGTATTGAGAGATGAAGGTAAAGATCAGGAGTTCAAAGCCAGCCTCAACTACATAGGGAGTTAGAGGTCAGCCTGGGCTACATAAGATCCCGCCACACACACACACACACACACACAAGACCTAATATCATGCAAGGCACGGCATAATCTTGCTCGAAAGTCAGCACCGGCCCACAGAAAGAAAAAGACCCACACAGCGTACATGGATATGCTTAGCTCCATAAGGAAAGTCAGAATTCACACAGTCCTTCAGCGTACGTCCCTAATCTTCAGAACAAGTCGGACTTGTAGAAAATATTTGTCAAGATGTGGTGACTCAGGTCTTGAATCTCAGCACTTGGAGGCTGAAGCAAGAAGGTTCTGGAGATTACCACAGGTTTGGGCTACTCTGGGCTACACAGTGAGGCTGAGCTATAGTGTAAGACTTTGTATCAATAAAACAAAAGACAAAAAACGATATTTGTAGAGCATTGTGCTGAACCCAGAGGCTGCTGGGAGCTAGAAGTATCCAAACAAGACTAGACCAAATGGTATAGCCAGGGCAGGGCCCTCCCCAAATTACCAAAGCACAATAAACAGCCCAGGATGTCAAGGCAGGGGACTCGAAAGGCTTGAAATTTTGGAAGAGGTCTATGTTTGGATTTTTTGACTGTCATGACCTCCCCAATCTGAACAAGTCCCAAATCAAACTCAGCTTCCTCCCCACTGGCCTCCAAGGGACTGGACACCTTATCTCCAACTCCTTCCTCTCACTGTGAGTCAGGTATCAAGTATCCCAAAATCTACTCAGAACAGAGATCTGAGCCCCGGGAACGACTGCTCGAAGGGCCTTTGACTCTCAAGTCTGGACCCCTGGCCTGCCCAACCACAGCGACTTTTCTAACCCCAGAGTGTGAGACACTCTGGGACACAGACATGGTCAATTTAGGAAATGCCCAAAGCTGGTGGTGTGCTGTTCAAAGTCTCACAGGTCCAGCTCCACGCCTCACACATCTGAGAGCCCAGTTCTCCCTAGCGCACCTTTTAAAATGCCAGGATTTTCTCTGTATTCTCTTTCTAGGATGTCTTTGTTCCATTCTCCTAGAAATATTCTAGTTATCTTTGAAATCCAGACTCCCTCTAAGTTTTCAGAGCTCTGGGAGCAGCCCAAACCATCTAGCGGATGTTACTAGCGGTGCCAGTAAATGAAATCTGCACAAGGTGGGTGTGGAGGTTTCAGAGGGGAGGGGAGTCTGAGCTGAAGGTGCAGGAGACAGACAGGCTGGCTTCCAGTGAGGTGTATGATATGGATGCACTGAGGTGTAGAACTTTTTACTACCTACAATGTGTTTCAGTAGATGTTTTAGACTACACAGATTAAATAAAGTATATTGTGTTGTTTAACAACTATGTACAGGTTGAGTAAAGGGGAGAAAATTTCACTAACTGGGAACACATGGGGAAAGCCTGGAGACACTGAGCCGCAGACTCAAGGCACAGGAGGTGGCACCGGAACAGCAGTGAGAGGGAATTAAGCAGAGGACACGGGCTGAGTGGAGGGGGTAGGGCTCCTGTCTCAGCAGGGGAGTGAGGGAGGTGGGGCTCCATCACAGGCTACCCCACCTGCACTAGGAGGCATGAAGGGAGCAGGCTAAAATTCTATGCACATGATAGAGACAGAGTCACTTCCAAACCACCACAGCAGCTTCTCTGGATGCTGACAGGAGTGACACATTTTTATTCTTGGCCTCTAAAGTTGTTCTACAAAAGTGGTGGTTCATACCTGTAAACCCAGCCTTCAAGGGACTGGGATGGCAAGGACTACCAATAGCTTAAGGCCAGCCTGGGCTACAGGCTGAGATTCTGTCTCAAACAAAGCAAAAAGTTCTACAAGAGCCTTTATTTACTTCTTAATCACAGCTGGGTAATGGTAAACATGCCTATTAATTCCAGAATCTAGAAGGTGGATGCACAAAGATCATGAGTTCAAGACGAGCCTCAACTACACTGTGAGTTAGAGGCCAGCCTGGGCTACATATCACAAAAGAAAAATCATATTAAGTGTGGTAGCCTTTAATCACAGCACAGAGGCAGGTAGATCTCTGTGAATTTGAGGCCAGCCCAGTCTACACAGTGAGTTCCAGGCCAATCAGCTACATAGTAAGACCCTGTCTCAAAATAAATAAATGAAAAATCATAATCAGAAAGATGCACAGTGCATCGCCTGCATGCCTTGAGAGAGGAGTTCAAGGGAGTGCACTAAGGTCTTTACAATGTATCACTTAGAACAGATCAGAACGCTTGTGAGTTCCAACAGCAAGTGCAGACACTTTCCCACCCAGGCCGAACTAGACCATTAAAGGCCTAGAAAAATCCCATCAGGCAAATCACTGAAACGTGATGGAGGGATCCCTGGAGCGGTCTCGCCAGAGATGGGCCCTCCCAGCCACCGTCCTTCCAAAATCTCCAGAGCACAAGACAGGATAAACATAAAATTCCACTTCAGAAGGCATCAAATGCAACTTCTAAGCGCACTGCGGCATCTGGGAGCGCCATCCCTCACCTTGAGTCTAAGTCACCTGAACGTCTCATTAACAGGTTCCAGGACAACTCTACACAATTTCTTTACAATCTACCACCCTTGGGGGCATCTCCAGAGCCTCCAGCGTCAGTTTCCTCTTCCGGGTGGGGTGCAGGAAACACCCAGAACCGGATGGGCCACTTGTTGGTGCCTTATCTCAGGCTGGCTCCGCCAGGTGGGGGAGAGACGGGGGCCTGGAGCCGTTGGAATGTGACCCTCCAATGCACCACATTCTTATGTGTGGTGGTGGCGTTTGGGTTGCGTTCTTAACAGACGCAGAGTTCTGAACAAAACTAGCAACAGCTTTTTTCCACCAAGTTTCACCTGCCGGGCGAGCAGTTCCTCATGCGAGGGGTCACAAAGTCCTGTCACCGCTGCTGTGCGGTGCAAATTCCACAGACTGAGACTGAGATGGACAGCGCTGAGAGCGTGCGCTCCTCGCCAGTACCTCAGAACCATCACCCTGACCCTAGCTAGGTGCGCGGTGTGCGCAGGGGATACGGGCGGGTCACGGGGACTCAAAACAAGCCGGAACTGACAGGCTCACCTGGGTACGTCTCAGCATACCCCACACCAGCATGGTCGCTGGGTTTCCCAACACTCCCCGGCCTGTTTTCCCTCTGCCACTTAACCTTTGCAGGTAGTCAAGTTAAACCCCAAGGCCCTGCCCTCTTCTCCCCCACCCCAAAAGTGAGAGGGACCCCCTCCAGGGCCTCAGATAATGGGTCACCTTTCCCAGGGTGCCACGCACGGGCTCCGGAAGAGATGCGGGGTCGGTAGGTTAATCATTATTTTAAAATAAGGCTTTTATCATTAACCCTCCATTTCCTGGCTCGAGTTTGCGTCAGCCTGGTAACCCTCTCGCTCCCAGCTAGCTCCACCAAGCCACGCCTGGTCAGGAGCAATCCTGACACCCGGCTGGCGCCTCCACCCCGGGTGAGGTCAGTGCGCCGCGCAGTCCCGGCGGGTTATTTCCTGGAGGGTGCCCGGCACGTGCCCGAGGGGACCTACCGTGTTTTCGCCCGGCATCCCTCTGCTAGGCTTTCCCGGACTTTCCAGTGTTTGGGGCCGCGGGATGGGGTTCCCCTCCGGCCCCATCCTCTACCAACCTGGCCCACCTGGTTGGACCTGGTGACCCGCACGACCCCTCCCGGGTTCCCGATTGCTCCCCACGCCCTCCCCTCTCTCTGCACCGGGCTCTGGAAGCGACCAGGCCAGCAAACTTCCCCCGCGCCCCGGGAGACCCTGCCTCACGCCACTAGCCCGGGGGAGCGCGGGGACTCCGTGGGAGGACGGAGGTGGGCAGGGAGGCGGAGGAGAGGCGTGCGCAGAGGAAGATGGCCAGTCGGCCACTGCGCCAGGCTTACCCATCAACTCCCGGGGGACATCGGAGCTGTCGTCGGTCATGGTTGCCCTCTGGGCGCGGGGGGATCGCGGGTCCCAAGCTGACTGACGGCCCCGCGCGCTTCCCCGAACCCCTCAATGTTTCCAAGAGGGAACTGCAGCTTGCAGGGGAGGAGTGGGCCGGAGCGGCGGGGCGTGGATCCAAGGTTGCCGCGCGCCCGCAGGACCAAAGGAAAATCCCAAGAGTTGCAAATCCGAGCTGCCTCCACGGCCGCTGCTACATGCCGCCGGCTCGGCTCGCAGCTCCAGGGCCCCAGCGCCGGGCGGCTGCGGCGCCGGCTCCTCCCCGCGGCTCCTCCCCGGGCGGGCGCCTCCGCAGCCCGGCCTCCGCGCCGCACCTTGGGCGTAGGTGAAGCGGAAGGCGCGGGCAGGGCGGCCCGGCTGGCCTCGGCCTCCAGCGGACTGGGCTGGGCTGGGCTGGGCGGGGGCGGGCCGGCCCCCTCCCTTCGGTCCCCGGCTCCGCTCCTCCTTCTTCTCTCCTTCCCGGGCTCCAGCTCCTGCTCCTCCTCCTGCTCCTGCTCCTCCTCTCGGTCCTCCTGGGTCTCCTCCTCGCCTCGCGAGAGCAGCGTCCGTTCGGGTAGACGCGGGGTACAGCCCGGGGACCGACGCGGAGCGGGGCTGCTGCGGTGGCAACGGGCCGGGAGCCCCTCCTCGCCCCCTCCCTCCCGAGCCACCGAAGCCCTGCGTCTGGAGAGGGGCTGATGGAGCTGCGCAGGGCCCGGGAGCCATCTGCTGGCTGCTGGCGACGAGAGCCGGCGTGCGCCGCAGCTGCCCTGGGCCAGTCCCCGGTGCGCCCATCCCGGTGCGCCCAGGGACCCGGAGGCCCTGAGGCTGCAGATCCCGCCGCTGCCGCTGAGCTGTCCGCGCCGAAGCTGCCGCTTTCTGGAATCTTTCGTGCACTTCTGACTCTCGGGCCTCCTTGAGCCACGGTGTCCTCGCACTCGCGTTATTAATTTCTCATTTCTAGTGATGGAGAGCTACGCAGCCTGAAAATACTGGTGTACAGCGGTTTGCAAAGAAAGAGGCCGTCTGGGAAAATGCCTTTTGCTGGCCACCGACTCTCCTTGACACTCAGGGCACTTTCGGTGGGTCAGACGTCCTTCTCAAAACCCGGAATATTCCGGCTGTTTAATCTGATTCTACCTGACCAAAGTCATCCAGCGTCCCAGTGGGACAACTTCCGGACCAGCCAAACCTGTGTGTGCTTTCATCCCTCAATGCTGGGCATCTCCCTGACTGACCAACCAGGTTCCGTCTTTAAAGGCCAGAAAAAAAGGAGAGGAAGGGAAGAAACGGAATCCCAAGCATTGGCGGCCCGTTTTCTGTTGTTAACGTTGTTTTGGTTTGTTTTTGTTTTCTATGTTTGTCTCTCTCGTAGCCTGGGTTTCCGTCCCTGCCTCGGCCTCCCCGGTGCTGGGACTACAGATGTGAGCTGCCGAGCTCAGGCTCGGTGGTAGACTAGTCTTAAAGGCTGCTGTGGACGGTGAAAATGCTAAGAATCATCTTCAGCCTTTAGTCTGGCATTTCCTCCAAGGTGATGCTGGGGAACTCTTCCCTTGGGGAAACTGTAAACAAATGTCTACCCCACCTTTATAGGGGTTCCAACCACAAAGTACATTCCACCAAAGTCCAACTTGGAGAACACATTTCACTGATGAGGGGTTACTTACAGGAGTGAGGGTGATCCCAAAGCAACCAGGTACCTCTCCATGGATGAAGACTTCCCCACAGCTGTACACATAGAGTGCCCCTTTCAGATAAGTTTCACACTATATACCTAGAGCCTCCCAGGCTCCTGGCAATTAGTGTAGAATCACATACACCTGGCTTGGAGGTACAGGCAGGAGCTGCTGGCATCTCAGGTAAGTGCTCAACGGTCCTCCCCAGCCCCTCCTCCTATGAAGGAAGAAATCAAGAAGCCAGATTTCTTGCAAGTAGTTAACAGATGATGTGATGAAAATGATGACTCTACAACAGGTGTTAGCCAGTGGCTCTTCCCACCCGGCTCACCCTCAACTCAGCAGGGCTCCATTCTTTCTCAAAATTTAAGCTATTGTGTGCACATGAGGGAGAGAGTCTGGAGGTCAGAGGACAACGTGTGAGAGTCAGTTCTGTCCTACATTTACCTGGGTTCCAGAGATCAAATTCAGGTTGCCAGGCTCAGGGGCTTTACTGCTGAGCCATCTCCCCATTCCGCTGACTTCAAGCTCTCCAAACTCCTTGTGTACCATCTGCTTCTTGTCTGTTTGCAAAACCATCCTCTGTACCTTCTTGGTAAAAATTCTCCAGTGCTTTGCAGATCTCTGAGATTCCTAAGAATGAAACACTCTTGTAAACCCAAACTTAGGGACTTCCTCCTTTCTTCAATGTGTGTTGAGTTTTACTATTTAACCCTAGTGTCCTGAATTTGGGTGGCAGGAAGGTATGATTGGTTGGTTCCTAACTAGACAGTAGGTGAGTTGAAATCAAGAAGGGTAAAAAGTGCCTGTGCATGTCTGTGAGTGTGTGTGTGTGTGAGAGAGAGAGAGAGAGAGAGAAGGGGGAGTTGACCATCCCAGGCTCTGTGTGTGTGTATGAGAGAGAGAGAGAGAGAGAGAGAGAGAGATGATCCCAGGCCCTCCTTGCTCACTGCCAGAGGAGTGAGCTATACCCCAGCCTCAACAGCTTGGGTAAAGAAGATGTTCAATAAACACTTTACTTATTTTGAGCTTTATACCTCAGGCCTCTAACCATTTGTTTATAAATCTGGCAATTTGTTTAAACTACATGTTTCCCCAATGCATTAAATATTTTTTCCCTGTAGTAAGTGGAAGTTAACACTCAAAACCACCTTTCTTAAACATGTGGTTTAGCAGGGCTTTTCTGGGATAGACCAATGATGTTTCAAAAATAGCTCTGAAGGCTCTACACCATGTGGGAACTTGTGAAATTAAGAACAAACATCTTTGCTTCTTTGACCTGGAGAAGTGGAAGGGTAAAGGGAATGGAAATCCTGACTCAGGACTCTGCTGCTTCCCTGGCTCCCTGGCTCCCTCCCTCCCTTCCTATCATGTAGCCCAGGCTGCCCTCAAACTCACTCTGTAACCAAGAATGATCTTGAGCTCCCAATTCTCTTGTGTCCACCCCTAGTGCTGGGATCACAGGCATGCACCGCCTTGCATGGACCACCATACCTGCTTTACATGCATTGAGAATGGAGCTCAGGCTTCTCCATCTGAGACAAGCATACCACCAACTGAGCTACATCCCCAGCCCCTAAAACTTGAGTTACTCATTTTGGTGTTTGTTTTCCGAGACAGCCTTACTCTGTAGACTAGACTGACTTGGAACTCACTATGTAGCCAAGGCTGGGCCTCAAACTCATGATAATCCTCCTACCCCAATTACCCAATGCTCAGATCAAGCAGGAGACACCAGACCTGGCCCTCAACTTGAATTTACAAAACATTATGTAGCCTAAACTGGCCCCAAACTCATGGTAAGTCTCCTGCCTCCACCTCGAAAGGACTAGGGTTACAGGAGTGTCACCATGCATTTCCTTTCCTTTTTCTCCTGCTGTGCTGGAGATTGAACCAGAACTTTGCATATTCTAGATAAGTGCCCAACCACAGAGCTACAGCCCCACCTCAGCTTCAAAAGTGCTAAACAGATAAATTTAACATATACTGGGTGAAAAAGTTCATTTGGAAAATTGTTTGGATTTTTATTTTAAATTCATACATGAACATTTGTGTCGCTATAGCACATTTTATATTTCATTATGAGAAAAATACATTCTTAAAAAAATTGCTAATATATATATATATATATATATCCATCTCTCCAGCCCCTTATGTGTGTCTTTTTGAGACAGGGTCTCCCTGTAGCCTCAGCTGCTCAGCTGGCCTGGAACTCACTATGTAGACCAGGCTGGCTTTTATCTCACAGAGATCTGCCTACCTCTGCCTCCCTAGTGCTGGATTAAAGGCTTGCACCACCACCCCCGGAGCTAAAAATAATGTTTTATGATGACTTAAAATACTATCACTTGGGGCTGAAGAGATGGCTCAGTGGTTAAGAGCACTGACTGCTCTTGCAGAGGACCCAGGTTCAATTACCAGCACCCACATGGGGGCTACGAACCGTCCTTAACTCCAGTTCCAGGGGAATCTGAAGCCCTCTTCTGACCTCCAAGGCATTGCACGACACAGGTGCACTCACATACATGCAGGCAATACTACTCATACACATAAAATTTAAATTTAAAAATAAAAAAAATACTATCACTAATGATTAAACCCACAGAGACAAAACAGAAAAAGAGAAGTTAGCCAGCTTCAAAAGCACCCAACTTACCTAGGCCACTGTCTGATCCTGCCTAAACCAGCGAGAACCAGCTTTAAAATGGGAAAGGTATTCAGAAACATTAGAAACAACAGCTTTTCAAAAAAATTTTATTGCATTTATTTATCTTATTGTGTTTGTGTGTGTATGCTTGTGTATACAGCCATGCTGCACATGTGGAGGTTCAAGGACAACTGAAGAGTTCTTTCTCCCTGCATCTTGTAGGTCCCAGGGATTGAACTCTGGTCATCAGGATTGGTGCCAAGCACCTCCATCCACCCACTAACCATCTCTGCAGCACCACCCAACCCAAACTGTATGTGTGTCTGTCTGTCTGTCTGTCTGTCTGTCTTCTTGTGTTGGGATGCTAGGAAGCAAAGCAGGGGTTTGCCAACATCAGATAAGTTCTCTGCCACTGAGCTGTATCTCTGGCCCCTACCAGAGCAGTTTCCTACCCAGTAACTACCATTCACTAAGGGCCTTTATAAAGTGTGTAAGATGCTTGTGGGAGTTCATACCTATAATTCCAATACTTGGAAGGCTGAGACAGGAGGATGAGTTCAAAGCCAGACTGAGTTCCAGGTCACCTGGGCCAGAGAGAAAGAGAGAGAGACCCTGTCTTGAAAGCCAGCCCTTGGGAGGCAGTGAAAGGCAGATCTCTGTGGCCAGCCTGGTCTACATATTGAGTTCCAGGCAAGCTGAGTTCATAGGGAGTCCATCTCAAAAAAAAAACATAGTTTTCATTGAGTTGATGGAGACTGTCAGATGTGACAAAGTTGGGCATGGGGGGAATAGCTAGGACTCAGGGCCTGATTCAGCCCGGGAAAAAAAAAAAAAAAAAAAAAAGTCTGTGATACAAACTAAATTTGGGGATATCGCTAAGAAGTTTAAGGGCCGGGATGTAGTTCAGTTGGTAGAACACTGGCCTGGCATGACCAGAGCCCTGGGTCTAATCTCCAGCACAGCATTAAACTGCAAGTGGTGGCTCATACCTGGTCTATAATCCCAGTACTCAGGAGATGTAGAGTTCTAAGTAGTGAACAAATTCCAAGGCTAAGTGAGACCTTGTGGAGGGGACAGTTTAGAGGAGAAACACTTGTTTATTTAGATTAATTTAGAAGACAAGTAAGGTGACTGGCTAGCAAGCAGTTCT